TCCAATGTCAGCCCTAACAACATTCAGGGTTGTGATTTACATGAAGGTGAATGGGGCACCGTCGGCTCTGTGGTCTACTGGAATTATTTCCATGGTAAGTAAGCCTCCCTATAGCTTCAATTAACATCAATTATATTATATATTATGTTCATGTCGTTTGATGTTAATTTCTTTCTTCAACTATTGTTAATTGTTATGCAGATGGGAAAGCTAAAGTTGCCAAGGCGTTGATTGAAGCCATAGACGCTGAAAAGAATCTGATCACTTTCAAAGTGATCGAAGGAGATCTGCTGGAGCATTACAAGAGCTTCAAGATCACCATCCAGGCCACTCCAAAAGCTCATGGTCAGGGCAGCATCGTCCATTGCACTATGGAGTATGAGAAGCATCATGGTGATATTGAGGACCCACATACCTTGCTCCAGTTTGTAGTGGATGTGTCCAAAGATCTCGATGCTCATCTTACAAGTGCCCAGGCATAATTAATTAAAATCGAAGGCTTGATTGAGGCGGGCTTATAGGATCATCTGTGATTCTGTGTGCTTCCTATGTATCTACTATCCATTTGCTTTCGTGCTTGCAGAAATAAACGCCTTCAATCAATGTTTGTATCTTAATAAGTCTCTGTGCCGTCTTATCTTATATGATATGGGCTATGTATCTTTTATTAATTCCAAGTTGGGGCTTTACCCATATAAAGCCATATTTCTACGTACTCTTGAAATGTGTTTCTACATCTCTAATGTCCTCAACATCTCTAATGTCCTCAATTGACACTCAAGTTCAAATTTTTCTTCTCTTGTTAATTTAAAAATAAATATATGTAACATCTATCATCCACTCATCATGGATCTAGACATAATTTGTGCGATTTTATGTAAGACATATTCTATCTAATATGAGAGAATAGGAACCCACACCCCCCACAAACCAAATGAAAAATAGAGTTAGGTTATGGAGACAAGATAAGACCGATCTTTTATATATATACAGTCCCCTTCTATTAAGGGATTCCTCAAATAATTTTATTTGAGAGACGCCTTTTAGGGTACCCTACAATTTTTTTTCTAATGATCCAAACCATCTATTTTTCAGGTCTTCATTCATAGATCATCCTTACAAAAAATTAGACAAATCGAAAACCGTTTCGACATCCAATTGTGTCCCACAAAATCAATGAACATGGTGCTTCAAGAAAGTACTAAAATTTCAATAACTCAATTGAATGGTCAAATAATATCAGATTCAATTGATTTTTTGTAGAGATGATCTTTGAATGAGTATCTACAAAATAGAATGTATGGATTAGTGAAATACAATCCGGAGTATGCCCTACAAGGGGTGTCCCTCAAATAAGCTTATTTGAGGGATCCCTCAATGGAAGCTATATATATATATATATATATATATGAGAGTAAGTTATCAAGACAGAATTATTACATAGAAAGATAGATGTATAAATCCTATAGTCCCTCATAAATTGATCAATATAAGCTTAGCTAAGTTGGTTAGAGCAGATGTGTTGATTCTCATTTTGCACTCGAGTTCAATCCCCCTCTTCGTAGTCTAGATTAAATTAAAGTAGAATATCGTTTGTATAAATAAAAAAATTACTTTTTCCATTTTTGCAAATTTAGAGAGTACACACCAAGAATACTATAGTGAGGGCCTTATATATGGCCCTTAGGTTAGGCCCTATCTTTTAACCGTTGAATTAAATTAGTTAGCATGATCTAACGATTAAAAGATATGACATCACCTAAGGGCTATACATAAAGCCCTCACTATAGAATGAGTTGAGTGTGACGCAGTAGCCCAACAATTTTTGAGCGATCAAAAAATTTTGAAGCCCACTTTTTAGATGGAAAATAAGATTAGCCCAATAATAAGAAGACCAGTAAAACCTGGGCCTGCAATTATATATCGAGTCTCTGAAGGAGGAACTGGGCTAACCGGGCAAAATAATGTTGAGCTATTAATTATGTAAATTGAAGACTTTTCAACTCGAGTGTCAGTCTTCAAATATGTATAGAAGTTTAACAAATCGTAAAATCACATATTCTGAGCTTGCTCCTCAATAGTTAAGCCATACCGGAAAGTAATTATAGAATATGTCAATTAATTTCAGATGCAGGGGATAAGGGTAGAGATTAGTTTATACAAAAACCAAAAAGACTTATTAGAAGAGACCTGATAAACCTAGGAAAGTCCCAAAGGATGCCATGCCAATTAAAACTGTTCCCAATTGCATGAAGCATAAAGCCTTAGTGCGCAGTGCAGCAAATTTGGCTTGCAGTTCCGTTCGGTAACGTTTTCAGAAAATGTTTTCTTAGAATATTTTTAGAGAATGAAAACAAGAAAATGAATTTGCATTTTCAGGAAATGAAAATACGTATGGCAGATTAATTAGAAAACATCTTTAGAAAACAAAAACAATGAAAACGTGTCTGGTAATACAATTTGAAATAATAATATGTGAGTTATTTTCATGAAAACGTTTCCCATGAGAATAAAAACAACTTTTTTATGTTTTCTACAAGTACACATGAACTTGTTTTCATTTTATGAAAACATTTTCAGTGTTTTCTATTTTTGGGCCACCTAACGTGTATTTGCCTCATAGATTCCAATTGGATCCCTTTTGTATTCTGTTTCAGTCTCTTTCTTATGTATTTGTTTATTAAAAATCACCTTTCATAGCAAATAAAAGAAGAAAAATATAAGGGAACGAGGTGTATGTTTGGTGTGGTCACAACGCAGAAAATTCCTGAAGGCCGGCGTACAAGCAAAGGCAAGACAAGAGGCATGAAAACTACCTTTTTTTCACAAAATACAGAACCCAATTAATCCAATCTCTTATTATGTTCGAGTAGCAGAGAGGGTATGATGAGGATGAAGTTCATGATATTGGGGGGGGTGCAGACAGCAACGTGCAGCTTACTTGGCTTAGCTTCTTGTTATAGTCAGCCTCAGAAAACACGCACGCACATAAATTAGCGGACAGTTTCCTTTTGCCTTTTGCTGTTTCACTTTCTTTCTCGTTTTTTCTGCTGCCATGTCATTATTATTAAATCGATGGTGTCGGGGATGGAGCAACTGGGGTTGATTGATTGGAAGTAGCATTGGTGGTGGATAAGACGTCGCCTGGGCTCATTTTAACGACTCCTTTATAAGCACGAGGATGACGACGGAAGAGATGATGACGATGTTCTCAAGCAACTTGTTTGAGAACAGCAGCAGTTATAGCATGCCGCCCTTGTCATCCATCGAAGAAGAAGAAGAGTCTACAATCTCTGTCTCTGATGATGATGATGATGCAGATAGTCTTTTCTCCATTGATTTTAATTTGAATCATAATAATATGCATAATAGTTATAAGGAGGAGGAGGAGGAGGAGGATAGGGAAGTTTGTTATTATTATTATTATGTAGCAGTGGGGAGGAAGAGCGAGTCTAGCATGGATGCCCTTCTCTGGACGGTTAACCACGCAGCTACTCCTCAATCATCATCCACTTCACTAGTCAATGTAGTCATCGTCCATGTCTTTCCACCTCTTCAATTCATTCCTTCTCCATGTAAGTTCCTTCAATTTATTCATATTCTCTCTCTCTCTCTCTTCCCAAGTCAAATGAGGAAGCGCGTCATACAATGAACCTGCACTCACTGTATGGTCTAGGTCATACATGTCACCTTCAATCCCATATATTCATTAGTTTACTGTAAAATTTCCATTTTTCCCTTTTGTTTTTAATTAGTTCCATAGAAATTTCAAAGCTGAAAATGATACCAGGGTGTATACGTATCTTATTTAAGCGTAAATGACACGAGTTGAGTTGAATCCTTCAAAGTCTTACAGTACCCTTGTTTTATAATTAAAGTCTAGCTGTATGCTGATATCCCAGCTTGGGATATGCATATGGATATATATTATATATAATAAGCCAGAACTTATAGATACCTAGATTAAGTACTGATCTCAAACGTTATAACAAGCTAACATCATTATTTGTGTAACACAGTAGGAATGCTTCCAAAAAGTAAAGTAAGCCCAAAGCTGGTGGACGAGTACATGGTCCAAGAAAGAGACAGAAGGAGAAAGCTCCTTGAGAAATACGTTGATGCCTGTTCAGCTGCCAAGGTACACCAGATTTCAAAGTTTCAGGCCCTCCATGCTGCTATTTACAAGTTGATTAACTTTTACAACAATGGAACAGGTCAATGTGGATGTTATGCTTATTGAGAGTGATACGGTTTCCAAGGCTATCCTAGACCTAATTCCAACTCAAAACATCAAAACACTTGTTGTTGGAACCAGCAATTCCAGTATGAGGTACAATCACTTCGCTTGTAAATGCCACTACCAGAACTCTGTTTCAAGAAGTTTCACATTTCCAAGTTTAAAGCACAACTAATTTTGTTACGGTTTTGTGTAATTAAGGAAATTGAGGTCTAAGAAAGGAAGTGGGATTGCTAGTCAGATTCTACGAAATGCACCTAAAACAAGCTGCGAAATTCGGATCATATGCAAGGGCAAGGAAGTGATGGATCAGGATCACACGATTACAGGGTCGATTTCCTCACGTAGCAGCAATGCGAATTCCTTGTCGACGCAAGAGGAAGATGATAATCAAGAACTACCAATCTCACCAGATTATAACAAGCAAGGGCTGCATTACACGCTTCCTGCAGTGAAATCTCCATCAGCAATTCCGGACACTACTACTTCTGCTCCACTTCTGTCTTTAAATGGATACAAGGCAATGTGGAGGGGAAAACTAAAACCAAAAAAACAGCTTGATTTTGCTGTGTAATGTAACGTTTTTAAAATTTATAGATTGGCATGTATATATATATATATAACAGTGTATACCACACATTAAATCGACATGGCACACATATTTTTGGTCTTAGGTATAAAATGTATACACGTCCACTCTACCATATTGGCACTTAAATTATATGTTGGATACATTATGATGCTTCTTCTAGTTTTATTCCGATATACTTCCACAGATTATAGCAGCTCAGCCTACAATTCCACTTTTGGCATACTTTTCGATCTGACTAATGTCGAGGCTTTTATCCATTCCATTTGCTATGATAAATCTGCACAGAACCAACCAACTTGATCAATCAATCATTTAAGAACATTATTACTATTTATTACTGTTGTATGAATTTGGATACCTGGGACTTACTTATCTAGAAGAACTCTTGTCATCGTTTGGCAGCAGCCAGGCACAGAGGATTGCATGTTTACTGCAATATTTGGGTTGTGAATGCTCTGCCGGATGTGTACCCAACCATGTTGTCCATGTTCCTCATCTGATACTTTTGCTCTGAGATGTTCAAGTTTTAATTATAATTAAGCTTAAGAAATATATATGATCCAAATTTAAATCCATCAATTGTCAAATTCAACTCTTGTTTTATATATATAGCACCTGTACATGTGAGCGTCAACGGCAGCAGCTGAGGTGTCATTTGAGTCTACAAGGCAGCCTTCACTCACCCAACAATCTCCACATGAATCTAATTCCCACCCTTCAAGTCTCCCCTCCTACAAGTCAATGTATGTTTTGTTATAATCAACCAAAATCAGCACTACTAATTTATCTCCGGTAGAAGCTGGCTTGTACATGCAAGTACCTCAACGTACTCTCGGAATGTTTCAATGGCCTCAATGGCTTTTTCTTTTGCATATCTTGGCTCAGAGACCACGTTTATCCTTAGCTCTAGGGACTCTGCTGGTTCTTCAAGGTCTTTGATGATATTACCAAACCCTTCATCCGATCCTGCAAGCTTCATGCGCACCATCTCAATGATGATCTTTACCACCATGTAAGCCCCTATAAAATGAAATAACCATTTATGCACGCACATAATTAAAATTCTAATTGAACAAAGCAAAGCAAAAACATAACATGCAGAAACCATAATGCTAACCATCATCTAGGAAGTGGTTCTCTTTAAGAGCACCATGTCCAGATGTTTCCATCATGAGATGAGTTTCAATGCCCTCCTTGTTAAGCTGGACTCCCTTATCAATGACATTTCGGTAACCAACCCGATATAAGCAATGTTGTCCCCCTCTATTGGCGATGAACCGTGTAAGTGCCATACTTGTACGAGCATCGGTCACTATGGTTGTTCCGGGGTGTTCCCTTAATACAATAGCAGAAATTAGAGCAATGAGCTTGTCACCATTAATGGGGTTGCCTTTGTTATCTACAACACCACTGCGGTCCACATCAGTGTCAAACACAATTCCAAGATCAGCAGAGTTTTCTAGCACTGCAGCTCTGGTTACTGCCATGGCAGTTTTGTCCTCTGGATTGGGAATGTGGTTGGGAAACATCCCATCTGGTTTAAGGTGTAGAGAGCCAAAGGTGTCTGCCCCAAGCTTGTCTAAGACATCCCATGTGAAGAAACCTCCTGATCCATTACCTGCATTCACTATTATCTGCATTAAGGAGCAATTAGTGATATGTCAAAGGCGTACTGTTCTGAATTTGAATAAAGACCTCAAGTATATGACATTTTGTTGGACTAAGAAGGCCAATTAGATTTGGAAACCTGAAATCCTTGGAGTGGAGTTTCATAATGCAATGGATGGTTAACTCTCTCCTTGATAATGTCTCGGAGGTGCTTTGCATAAGTGCTCATGAAATCAACTCTTGATAGAGGAATATTAAGCAATATTGAAACTTTGGTGAGCCTATTGGCATACTTCCGGGCAGCTTTATCGCATATGTCTTCCACATCGGGGGAGCTTAGTCCTCCTTTCTTGGTGAAAAATTTGAGACCATTTCGGGTGTAGGGCAAGTGAGATGCGGTCATCTGCATCGCAACATTCAAACCATCAAATGATGAACTCACTTTATAACATTTAATGTTAGATGCCCTTCATAATCTTCTGGATATTGGCTTAATAAAAATGTGATTTCAAGTACATATGTGATATTAAGGCCAATATAGATGTTGCTCTGTATGTGCTACCATGATTGAAGCGTCATAGGCAAATGGAGGCAAAATTGTACTCATGAAGCAGGCAGGTGTAGTTGCAAGTCCCATATCAAAGGCCAAACAACCTGCTCGAGCCAGGCCTGAAAATACAGCTACACTCAAAGATGCTCCTGATATTCTTGGGTCTCTGCCAAGGGACACTCCAACATTCTCCACAGGATGTCCTCGCTCCTTCTCCAAGCCCTTGATGACCCATTCGCCAAAACTCTCTGCTACGGCCTCCACAGCCGGCGGTGTTAGGTCCACTGTCCGTCCCTTCTCGCCTTCCAAGGCCACCCCACGAACATCAGACCCGTTTTGGAGCCTTCGAATTCTATCCATCTCTTCATCCACCACAACTTCATTGTAGTACTTGGCAGTGCTAGAAGACTTCACACATACAAATTTAGTACTTAGTGGCAATGAACATGGAAAACTAAGGTTTGTGTGGGATATTCTGGGTGCTGACTTTGAAGGGAAGCATGGCTTTTGAGCATTGGTTTGCAAAGATATTGAAGAAGTTGAAGTGGAAGCCATTAATTAATTCTGGTTCTGTTCAATTTGGCGCCCTTTGGTTGTTTTTCAAAAGCTTTTGAAGGGGGGATTTTTAGACCAAACAAACAAGTTTGGAGGATAAGATATCTCAGTTAACTATAACCCTTCATTTCAATATCTATACAACACTGGAAGAAATATCTTTGAACAAAATGCCAAGTACCCAGATTTTTTTTCTTGTTTTATGTCAGGCAATGTTTCTTCTATTGTCTTAATGTGCTATTGATAATCTCCGAGTCCATGAGAATGAACGGCATATTCTTGCATACCATAGGATGCTTTCACGTTTAAAACACTCCCCAGGAGATAACGAAGGAGTTAACGCGTTAGTTTAACACGTGAAATTATATGCAATTTATATGCCATTTTAAGTAAATTCAAAGATCATTTCATTTTACACTGTCCTCATCTCACCCAGCGTCCCTCCCAGCCCCCCTTCCCCTTGCCTTCTCTTCATCTTCTCTTCATCCAGCAACTCACTCACTTTTCATTTGTTCTCTGCCATCATGCCTACAACCACTGGAATAGAGCCCTCGCTGTAGATTTAATAACAAGATCCAACCAACACATTAAAGTAGTGTGTATGTGTGTGTTTTTTTTTTTTTTTTTTTGGTGATCAAGAAATAATACTTTCATTCCAACAGAGAAGTGGGACAAAACAAAAGTTAGATGTAGTTACATGATTCAAACTTCGAGATGAAGAAAATACATCAAAGTAGTCATTTCAAGCAGAAGACATGATGTTTGCTTGAAACAGATTATATACATTAAGGGACAAAACAAAAGTTACAGAGCAGAACAGAGCAAAAAGAGATTTGGGTTCTGACTAGACACCTGCTAAACCCTTAGAACCAGGAAGGTGGATCCACTCAATTTGAAGCACAATTTCGCCGCACTCGACGTTTTTCAGTTTGAGAATCATGTCCTGAACAATTTTGCCATTTTCCCAAACGCAGCAGCTCTCAGAGGACAGGCAGTTGGTCCTGTTGGGCTGAACTTTCTTGACGGCGCAGCCCTTCGGGAGGACGTCCAATCCCATCTTGATGCACTCAACGTAGGGTTTGATGTCTATGTCTGCATCTCCCATCTTGTCGTCCACAGTTAACGTGTCCTTGTCGTACACTTCTAGATGGATGTTTTCTTCGAAATTTGTAATGGAAAGGGTCAGCTCCTCGTTCCACTGAGGGTTGCAATTCTTCTTTATCACTTTTGTCTTCAGTTTCTGGGAACCCATGGTGACCACCACGTAAGGATCACTGGTCTTGGTATCACGAACAGCAAGGTTGATGCCTCGCTTGATCCGAAGCCTCAGAAGTCCCAGGATATTGTTCATCTTTATTTGCTTGCTTGCACAATCCTAAAAACTAACCTAGTTTCTTTCTGGTTTCGAGTTTCTTTTGTTGTTTGTGGTTGTGAATGAGATATGATACGAGACCTGGCGTTGATAAAAATGTGCGCTCAGGAACTCAGGTATATAGAATGCCAACACAGTCACTGTGCAGCGCTTGAAAGTCGTGGCAAATGTCAATACGGCAACCATTCATGGACAGACCACTCACTCGTAACAACCGATCACTTTGTGTTTGCCAATTGAAAATTTGGAAGTGGTCTACCGACCTTATCGCTTTACCAACCCTATTATTATGAGTCAATCCTTTTCAATAGACTCCAAGGCTTATTGGGTTACTGGGTTATTGGGTTATGGGTAGGGCTTATCATTGAGTTATGGGTTTTGGGTAGGGCTTATCAAATTTGTTCGGGAACATTTTGGTTTGGGTTGGCCCATCAAATTTTGTATTTGGTTAGCGCCCGATGCAAACGTTCAGTTCATGAATTGCTTGTGTACACAAGAGTCATTCTAGAATGAGGGCCTTATATATGGCCCTTAGGTGAGGTCATATGTCTTAACTGTTTGATAAAGTTAACCAATTTGATTAACTAATTTGATCATATGGTTAAGAGAAGCGTTGGAATGGGCTTTGCTTAGTAAGGTAGAAAATGTAGAACATGGAAACTGGCTTTTTTTATGAGTTTCATTGAAATTGTTTTCAACGTATGAGAAAAAGAGAGAGAGACCGCGTATATTATATATAATCTTTGTATACACATCCACAATGCTTTTACTACCATATCCTCCGAGAGACTTGTGATTTGGCTGTCTTACCTTTGTTCAGCAATATCATTCATTTTTATCCTCACCTTTTTTTATGGGGGGGCAATATCCTCCATACCATCTGCATCAGACTATTGCTAACTAATTATAGTTTAATTTAGGATTGCTTTTCCTGAATCCACGCATCCAAATTCCAATCCAAATGCACGCAATGCCAATATTATACACACAATATGTTTGCTTGCTTTTTGTTTTCACTTATACGAAAAGAAGGGAAGGGAAGGGACCCAAAGTTATCATTTTCAATGGACCCTTTTCAACTTTATGTCCTTTCATACATCTCATTGCTGGAAAAGGTTAAAAGGGAATTTGCAAAGGATCATCTTCCACTCTCACTCAATATCATGTTACACATGCCCTGCTTATGCATGTGTATTGTCCATGAATCATGAATGTATGAATGTGCGTGATCTGAAGGAACATGTGGTTGACATCATGGTACAGCAGCAGATGCAGTGGTATATGATTCTTCATCACATAGCGTTCTGCGGATTTCATCCAATAATTGAAGTTCCTCATTTTTTACTTCCCAAGCCTACCAACAACTAATTAAATAATTAATTGATATATTATTATATTATATCAGAAAATTTAAGCCTCTACTTTTTGGCTGATATGACATGACTGGATTTTGGTTATCAACTCCACGAGCCAGCAGCTTCTTACCCTGCTTGGATTTGGATGTGTCATGTTCTCCAACAAAATTGTGATATTATTTATAAATAAACAAATACCACTAGATTATCTTCTTAAGTCTTTATTAATTTAATTGCTCGAAATCATATTATTCTTTCTTATGTCAAAGGTTCACACACGATATGCCACCTAATTACCAAAACAAATTAGTGTTAAAACTTAATTAAATCAGCCTCTCTCTCTTGACCACCAAGACACGGTTGGTGGGTTTGGGAACATCAACTTGTATCCGCACATTCAGATAATATATCATTTTAAAACAACTTTAATCATACTTTCTATTTACCTCTCTTTCTATGGGATGGAGTATTATAATGTCATTCTTACTCTAACATATTAAAGACAAACATATGTTCAAAAACACTAATTCTCTAATTATGGGTAGTTAAACTAACGGATTTAGCCCCTCTTATTAAATTAACATTGTGTAATTTTTATTATAAAATCGTAACTCAAGTGAATAAGTGGACACACTGACTTGTCCAACTGGTACAATCCCCACATATATAATTTTATTTTAAACAAGATGGAAAACCCTTGTGGTTTTAATGACCATTTAGACACAATAACTAACAAACAAACCCACACTACGGAGATTAAAGAAGAATGCATTAATTGTAGGATATTTAATTTGTTAAAAGAATGAATTTGTCTAGAAAACCCTAAAGATAAGGAATTTGGGGCCTCCACAAATAAAATGGAGTGTAAAACCACTAAGAGCAAAATGGCTGGTGAGATGAGTTGGATGCTAAAACTTCCTCTCCAAGCAAACAGTGTAACTAGTCAAAACAAGTGAGAAAAAATAAGAAGAAAAATAACTGAAATTCAAATATTAAAGAATTAGTCACACTAATTATTTACTGATTTAGCCGCTGTCAAAACTGACACGATAAGGAGGACGCGCTAGCAAGAATGACGGTAACAAGAAGGAAGGAAGCGGTAAATTTGGAAAGTCGGTGGTAGTAAAATGTACCCCCAACCGATTCACAATTCCAAACGAAAGAAGGAAACCGGAATGTAAATATAAAAGCAAGCAACCCCAACAGGCTCTTCTCCCCAGAATTACATCCCTTCACAAATACACACACTCAGGATTTGATTCTTGGAGAGAAGAAAGAGCCGCCTCCGCTCCCAACCAAACCCTAACCCTAAATCCCAAATTTCCTTTCGCTTTCATTCCGTTTCGATTGATCCCCTCCCAGAAACCCCTCAAAATTCTTCTCTTCTCAAATTTGTTTCTTGATTCGAAGCCAGCAAGTTGTGAATGGTGGAAATCTTAAGCATCAGTAATTTCATGCGCTCCCTTTTACAATCAAGGGCGAGCGCTTTTCTCCCGATCTCTGCTGCGTCTGCTTTCGCTTTCGGCTCCTGCAAGGAAGGCTGGTACTACCGCTGCCTCGGCGTCGACCCCTGAACCCCCTTCGTCTCATATATCTCTATATTTCCTCTTTCTCATCAATTTTTTGATTATCGCACCCGGATTTTCATTAATCGCCGTCCGTCGGTTTTTTGATTATTTGATTGAAATCAATAACTTGTTGGGAAAGAGGGACTGGGAAATTTTTTAGATTTTTTTGTGTTGGCTGCCTTTTTTGCTGTTGATTAATTGATTTGAATTCGATTACGAAACGACGAAGATGTTGCTGTACAAGCAGAAGAAGAATCCGAACAGCGCCAAGGGCAACAGGCTCTTGATCAGCATCACTGTGCTCGGCAGCGCCGGCCCGATCCGCTTCGTTGTCAACGAGGAGGAGCTTGTCGCTGCCGTCATCGATACCGCCTTGAAATCTTATGCGCGTGAGGGCCGCCTTCCGGTTCTTGGCTCTGATCTTAATGACTTCCTGCTCTACTGCCCTAACTCAGGACCTGATGGTAATGAATTCTCAAAAATCCCTATAATCTTATTTCATAAAAATTCAATCTTGTTTCTGAATCAAATTTTAAGAATTGAAGCCTTTCCCCTTTTTATATTCTCATGACTGAAACATCCCATCTCAGTTTTGACATAAATTTGCGAAATTGAATACTGTTTTGGTGTTGGTTATGCGAAATTGGTTCATTATATTGAAATACCCAGCTTCTGTTTTTATGCATTTCTTGAATATATATATCTCTAGGATTGCTTATTGACGGTGTTTTTGGATTTCATTGCAGCTCTGAGTCCGTGGGACACAATTGGAGCGCAAGGAGCTCGTAACTTTATGCTATGCAAGAAGCCTCAGCCAGTGAAAATGGATAGCGATGAAATACCAGCTGCTGCAATTACTCGCAAGGGTAGTGGGAGTTGGAAGGCATGGATCAATAAGTCCCTCAATCTCAAGATCTCCTCCCATTAAATTAATGGGGAATGAGAGAGTTTTGTTTGAGTTATTGGTGTTGTGTTCATTAGTTATAGAGCCAGCTCTATCCTTGGGGCTGCAATCTTTTCAAGTTTTTTGTTTTCGAATAAATTACAGATTGGTTTGTTTGATATTGCTTTCCATGGCATTTTTGCCAATGGCTTTTGAGGATCTTCTAGTGATAGTTGGAACTCGGGAGTTTGCTTGCATTTGTTGTGCAATGGTGGAAGTTGCACTGTACCTTTGATTCGGTTTAGTTGCATAATTAAATGGATTACTTCTTTCATGATTAAATGGAAGTTGCCGTCTGAATTTTCTGACATTATGTGTTCAAATTTTAGTAAGTAGGTAGGCTTCTAGTCAATCAATTATATCAATTGAAGGGGGCTGCTGTTGAATAAGCTTTTTGACCACTCTGATTAATTGAATCAGTGGTTTGCCAACAACACTTAATGTTTTAGAAGCTTTAAAATTAGTAGAGTTCATGTGCCTAGTATGCTGTGAGATATTTCAAAATTATTTTATTTTTATATTTTTGCCAGCCATTGTGTACAAGTACAATTGCCATCTAGGCATGGGAATATGCCATTCCCATCTTTTTCTGAGTAGATGAGATGCCCTCTGATTCTTTCTCGCTGGCGCAGACTGGAGAGAGAGCAGCATCACATTATTGGAAGAAAATGCTTCTCAATCAATTAAACGTACGAATACCCAATATAAAGCTACATTATGCCTCTCAATCATTTATGTCATTTCTAAATTCGGAATCTAACATGGCTAGACTACTTAATTGCAAATCACAAACGAACACGTATACAAAAAATAACTTATTAAAATCACAACAAAAATAAAAAATTAGCAGGTACACGTAGTAATGCTTCCTCGCATACAAGGAACCGAATATTTTTCATTTCTAATGGTTTAGTCAAAGAGAAAATGTGCCGGTGTGATTTTGTGCTGTGGCCGTCCACCATCACAAGTTCACAACCACAACCAAGGGCATCAGGTTTACTATTCTGTGAGCGACGTCATGTCTGATGATCCTATCCTCAAACGTGCATGTGGTACAACTGTCAACTGTGTGTACGTACGGTACCACAAAACGTACGTGCCACCATCACAATGTGTGTCGTCTCCTATATTGTCCTTATCACCGTTCATGTATTCCCTCGTCTCGTTTAAAGCCACGAATGTCTCTCCTTTTTTGGGTGTGTGGGTGCATGAACTGTCTGTCTGCATCATCATCCCTGCCACGATTTATGTCTTCTTTCTTTTGTAGTCTTTTCACACAGAATTGAATTGATTTGCAATTTATCCTTAAAATCTTTTCCTTTTTGTTCATTGGGTCTTAAATAATTAACAAGAATGAATGAAAGAAGGTAGGTCCTAATCTTAAATTTGGATTTTTGAGCTGCCTCTTTTCTGCTTCAACTTTGAACACTTGTTGCAACCACGCCCACTTATTTCTGTACATCTAAAATGGTGCTCAGCCCGAGAAATTCAATTTGGGCCACAACTTATAATCATACAAAACCCGGCCCACTATATAAAATCTGAATCTCACTATAGTATTGAGATGATAAAATAAGCAATGGGCAAGGCTACTACCATCTGCTTCACTTGAAATAACTTTTTTCTTTTCTTTTCACTGGCATCTGTTTCCCAAAAAAACACTCCAAGCCCTATTTTGATGAATCCAACTATTATCTCACAGTTCGATTTTGAAGGTTTTTTTTCACTAAATACTAAACTCGTGAGTTGGAGATAAACGGACTCAAACCGCTGACATCCACCATAAAATAAACTACCGCATCTCAGGCCACGACTAATTCTACCATAAAGGCTAACGATAGACAATAACCCCTCAACACAGCTTAACTGTTGTAAGTGTATTACTCAACTAAGAAAATCTAAAATAATACAAGCATTTTCCATAAATAAATAAAAAAAGAGAAGCCAGAGTTACTTAGGCCAAAGCCTACCGCTGTATGTATTGACATCTGGAGGAAGCTTGACGTGGACACAATAAATTAAAAAGTGGTCAGGTGTGGGCATTTCAATTCTCATAGGTTCCTAGTTGCTTCCTTCCTTGTCTGAAAAGATTTATACATGGAATGGAGTAAGAATTACTTAATATTTATAACATTTACTCGGTCTCGATCAATTTACAGCGGCCAAGTGGTGCGACGAGATATGTTGTGAGAAAAGAAAAGAAGGAAAACGTGAAGGAATTGGCCAAGTTGGGGGAGGAAGGAGAGACAGAGGGCAGAGCAAAGCAAAGCAGTGGTCAAAGGTTTTTAAGAGCCTTAAAAAGGCTGTAACTAAGACATCACGTCATATTCAAGTTATCCCGACATGTAACAACTGTTCCAAAAACACACGAGTGTTTCTGACTCTATATGAACAACGACACAACATAATTATTAATCACTGCCTTTTCTTTTCTCAGCAAAACCCTAAATTTATTCATTATCCATATGAGCAGTTTTGTGTCGACTGTTGAAGAAGATGCGGCCACCCAAACCCAACGCCCCCTTTTTTGCCCTTTCATTTTCTCCCACCGCCGTTCACTCTCTTGTTATTAACAAGATGTCATCACTACTTGCAGTCGCTTCTCGACCCTAAATTGTTAGCTAGTTCAGTCTGACTTGGCTTTCCATTTAAAATAATTAACAACGAAAACGACCAATTTCATTTACCAAAATGAATAAAAGAAAAGAAAAAGAAAGAAGTTGCTAAAGTCACACGTCTGTTTTTTGCTTGAATTTTATTTTTATCCTTATCAGAATCACTCCTAAACGGTCCTTATAAGGAACAAAAGAAAAGAAAAAGAAGAAGTTGGAAGAAGTTGCTAGAGTCTCACGTCTGCTTTTTGCTTGAAATTTATTTTAATTTATTGCGCTTCAATTTGTGGAATGGGGACAACAAAGGGTAATGGGTTGGAGAATAGGGCATGGGAAGTTTCAAATGGAGCGTGATGTGATGCGATCTCCAAGTAAAACTAAAGCTTGTGGGGGTCAAGTTGATATTAAACAGGAAATTATCATTTTGGCCTTGTTCGTACTGAATAAACATATTGTTACTAGGTGTAAATTCGACATTATAGATTATTAAATGTGTAATTGTGCTTGTCACATAATATATAAATGGTGGTCCAATGCTCTAAGACTAAGATGTCTCGGGCGGGCCTCCCCTCAGTGCTTCTCTTCCCTTTCATTCACTTACTTATGCTAATCTATGCTGCTCTCTACAACCCTAATTAAAGTTTTTGTTCCTTCCCTTAACAAATGCTTATATAATATACTAGTTAATTAATTTCCTAAAATATGGTGCAGGCCAATAATAAAGAACAATACTGATTGACGACGGAAGATTAATATTTAATATTGCCTTTGATTTTGATTAATATATGTTGTGATTGACGATGACCCTAAATGATTGATAGGGCAGGGGATATTTGGTTTCTTTCAGATGGTACGTATTGGTTTTGGTCATGCAGCACCATTTGAAAATTCTTATATCCAAACGGAGGAAAGTTGACACATAACATATAATAATGACTCAATTTTTAAGACCTATATGATATATCTAGGTGGTGGTGGTGGTGGCTAAAATAATCTCTGCATGCACAAATGAAAAGAAAATTAGGTGCTATACCGATTCCTCATTCAAGATTTTTATTTGTTTGTTTGTCTCGTTAGAGAGGAGAAGTGGTGGGTTCGATCGGCAGGCACACAACCTGCGCTGATCAATGAATCCTGAATGTGTATGATGTGATACAATTAGACTCATGAGGAATATAGATGCAATTTAAATATGAATTTCTGTCCTTTCATCTGAGATTCCAAGGCACTCTACCTACCGCATATGCTATTAGTTGACCTGGCCTGGTCATCACAGGCAAAAATCAAGACAATAAGTTTAGAATCCGAGAATTGAACAGTGATCTAAAACTCCTTCAACTTCAAAGGTTTTCGTTAAAGTATGTATAAATGACAAATTCTTCATTTATTCATGATTTTTGTCAAAATCAAATCAAATCAAATTGTTATATTGTAATTCATTTGGCGTTGATAACTGATCCAATCCGAACCATGCCAGGTCTAGTAAACAATGATGCATATATATATGTATGTGGAATTTACAATATTTGTTTTCACAATTTCTCATCTCATATCACATAGATAATGGGAGTGAGTGAGCACATGGTGTCGTCGTTTTCACTCCCTGCAGTCATTCCATGCAATATTACATTTATACCCTCAACTAGTGGCTATACATTATTAACCCATGCGTATGTTACAAGTCCTCTGTCTGTGTCTCTCTTTTCCTCCGATGGAAGGGAAGGAAAGGAATTACAGCACTTTGTTCTTTAGAGGAAAACTGAAAAGGAAAGAAAAGAGAAAGGAGGAATTGAATTGATCATGTGGATGGATGTGGGGATTAATTAATTAATTCACAAAGCTGGAGAGAAGTGAGATAGATGGCGCTAAAGAACATAATATTAAAAGCCTACTTTTTCAACAAAGTTTCAGAAAAGAGAACACTTTGACATAATAATAAGTGATCCTTTTCCCTCTCTTTCTCATGAATTATTATGATTGTGCTTGTGTGTTCCTCCCTCCCTCCTCACTCCTTCTCACTCCTCACTCCTCGTAGAGATGTATTCAATTCTTTCACCAAAATTGTTCATGGTAAATTCTCCATGTTTATAATATGTCCCATCCCTCCCAGTGCTACTAAATTCAAGCACATTTGACATTTCTGGTAACATCCTACCCCACAACCAACCCAACCAAAGCTGCCCAACAGTAAACTGGTGGAATCCATCCATCCAGGTTCAATTTTAGCGACACTTGTGCCCTCTTACTTTTTCCCAGTTCAGTTCCATCATCATGATTCATGATTCATGATTCATGCGATGCCACCACAACACAACCAACAACTAAAGTATACTTGTCTATTTATTTTTATTTTATTAATTTTCACGCCATTCTAAATGAGAGAAACTCAAATATGAATCTAAGGAGTGCCGCTTATTACCCTGACTCAACTACTCTAACTCACGTCTGAAAATAAGATTAGTTTTTAATTACATATCACTAAGTCCCATTAATAAATATGTCACATCTCATACATCAAATAGTAGTCAAAAAGGTTTCCATTTCTTTTATTATCACCACCAATATATATAAAAATATAAACATGAGTACACATCCACCTCTTGGTTCACAAAAGTAACCCCTAGTAACAAAATTAAGTAAAAAGGGCAAATTGAAAATGATAGAAAGCAAAAGAACAGGTAAAAGAAATAGAGAGAGAGAGAGAGAGAGAGAGAGAGTGACGGGGTTCAGACATACACATTTGGTAATGGACCTAAATGGTGGGGCTTTTTGGTGGGGGTGTCTCAATCTCAATCTCATTGTCGCACCCAGCTCACAAATGCACAGAGAGACACATTTCATTTCATACCCCACCACCACACCACTAGGGTGTGTTTGGTTGGCAGCAAAAAGAAGATTCAAATTTTTTATAAATAAAAAAAGGCTAGTTAAAGTTGACCCAACTCGCTACTCGACTCAGTGAGCCATCACCGAGTCGCAACCGGGTTTCCAAGCCGAAGTGGCGATGAGTGGGCGAGTGTGCCAACCCAACATCAAACAACCATTGTTCTCTTCCACTCGATACCCATCCCCGCCGGCAAACAAAGCCAACAGCATACTCGCTTGCTTGAACGCGTTCGACCCAAGGTGGACCGGCACAAAACCGGCCGAGTCCAACCGGGTTCGCCACTGAGTCAAAGTCTCGTGCCTCTCAACGCGGTCCACCCCTTCACAAGCCACCACGTTGCAGATTTGCTTCCCCAAATACAGCTCTGACATCGCCTTATCCTGACTGTTCACCGAGCCCTCCAGCGAGTCAAAAAGAGTCGAGTAATAGTGCAGCGACTCGTTGAACCGGTCCATGAAAACCGGACCGTTGTGGTTTGCCTCTTGCTCCACCACGGTGACAATCTCCGGCTTCATTTGCTTAACCACAGACAGGACCTTCTCAATCGCGCCAGGGCGAGCCAATAACTTGTGTAACTCGAAGACCGAGTTAACAGCCACCGATTCGACCTCGCTCGGTCTGAGTTCGAGCATGGACGCGTCCAGATCAGCCAAGCTGTTCGCCACAAACCCTCTGTATTCAAACTCCACATGGATGGTTTCAGCCAATTGGGCCAGCTTCCAGCCCACTTCTTGGAGATGGTCGGAGTTGTCGGACGCCGGAGGCCCGATACCCGTAAGCCGAAAGGCAGGTGGCCCGCCGGGTCGGAGCGCCAGGGCTTGCATCAGCGCCGGCCACTGCATCCCTTGGTTCATCGAAAAATCGATGACATGAACTCGAGTTTTGCCTTGGAGGGCTTCGAGGATGGCTTGATTGGCCGTAAAGTGAGCGAATTTCAAGTACGGGCAGGTCTCGTAGAAGTGCATCTGCAACATATCGGAGAATGAGTGGTCGATTGGGGACTGAGGGTAGACTCTGAAGATTCTTTGAGCTAGAGCTTCGGCAAAGTAGGTTGCAACTTTTCGCATAGCACCTGCTTGAGAAATTGCCAAGTAGCCGATCTGGGTCACCAGAGCTTTGGCCAGGTTGAGGTTGTTTTGCTGTACGGCTTCCGCGCAGGCCATGAGGCCGTGAACGAGTCGGACCCCGTTCTCTTGTGAGTCGACCAGGAGGGCAGGGCGAGTTGATGACTCGGTGGTGGGGATGGAGAGGGGTTGTGGTTGCGGAAGAGAAGAGGCGGTGCGCCGGTTGAAGACGAGGTCAGAGGCAGAAGACCCAGATGAGGGTTTGAGTCGCTTGGCCTCCCGGGACGAAGAATCGTGGTGGGTTTGGGTGAACATGGTAGCTTTGAGATCGTAGTAGTTGGAAGAGGAATTACAGTCGTCGAACACTACCTGATGGTGAGGATGATGATTTTGAGTTTGTGGAGGAGGTGGGCTCAGTGATTTGCTCACCTGTTGATCTCGGAAATCGATGGAGGTGATGGTGGAGGACTCGGCCGGAGCTAAGAACGAGTCGTCGCCGAGTTGGACTTGTTGCTGCTGATTAGGAAGCGGTACAGCGGCAACAGCCATTAAAGGGTCGAAATTGGGAGGTGGGTTGATCTCGGAGATCATGCTCTCTAGCCACGTCGATAGATCCGAAGGGTTATAGTGAACGGTATCAGAAGCAAGCTGCGAAAGGCCATCTTCCTGAACACTACCCATGAATTCTTCAAGCTGTTCGAGCTTCTGGGCGACCTCTGCCATGTCAGAGGACCGTACCTTGTACCCCAACACGGCCAGAAGCTCGTCCATCCCACCGTCGATTCGTTGGGCATCTTCTTCCCACATCTTATTGGAGGCTTTGCCACAGTCGCCGGCAGAGGTGGAAGCCATGGATGATGGGTCTGGATAGGGATATTGATGATAAATCTGATGCTCTCTTTTCATTTCTTTTTTTCAAGGTTGGGTTGATTTTGGGTTTGTGGTTAGTTGTGAATTGTGAAATAGTTTGGTTTGGATTTGGGCATGGGGAGGTGTGTGTGTTACTCAGAAACCAAAGAGGGCTATGAATGGTTGAAGAATCTGAGCATTGGGGATTGGGAGGGTGTTTGCTTGGTTTTTCACTATCACCACTACTTGTTCCATCTCTCTCTCTCTCTCTATCCCTCAGATGAGGAAATAAGAATATTAATGATGCCTCTCTTGAGTTTTTGCCAGTTTTAGTATTTTTATTTCCATTTATTTATTATTTTTACAAATTTTAAAAAAAAAAACTACAAAAATAACATATATATTATATATGTACTCGTGATGGGGGCGCGACCTCCAATGAAGTATCAGGCAAGCAGCAACAACTACTACAGCTCAAACACAAACAGATAAACATGAAATTATTTACATTTTACCACTATTTTCCGTTCTTTATTTTTGGGAAAATTAAAAAAATGGTCACAGGCTCTGCAGGGTGCAGCCTCATATTATTATTGTATAGACCTCCACGTTCATTTGATTCCCATTCTCTCTCTTCTTTTTTTGGCACGTGATTTGAATCTGATTTGGGGTTTAGTTTAAGTAAAAAAAATTGAGCTGAGTTTGGAAGACCATGTTCTGAATCTGATCATGAGTTACTAGGTTTTACTTTTTACTTAGTAAAAGTTAGTCAAGGGAAAAGAAAAGGACACTGTTCCTTTAATAGCGACACATCCATTAATTATAATTATTATTGATCATTATTTATTTGGTGGCTTGATGTTCACTTAATTAATTGAATTTGGGTTTCAGGGGCGTATGCAGTTTAAGATAAGTGATTGCCGCGTAGGAAAGTTAATGCATGTCTCCATATATTATTACGGTCGTGATTTGCTGTTAATTTAATGATTTCCATCAATTTCACTGGGGGAAAATCGGATGTAGTCAGATGCATTATGCAACAATTTAGGTAAATTACAATAAAATAATGCTCGAGCCAGATCATTAAAAGTTGTCGAGCTTTGAGCTTAGGTCTAATTAATGTGGACTTATCCAATCTTTTTTTTCCTTTGCTTTTATGTATGGCAAAGTTTCATTCGTATGGAAATTAATGCAACCAGCAAGTCCTATGCAATGCAACCGCCAATTCTCAGGTCTCGCACCTCTTTTGTCGATGTTCGCTTAATTCTCTAGATCTTATTATTTTTTACCTTCGCTTTCTCGTAGTAAAAACTTATCTTTTGTCGACTAATGTGTAGAGATACTCGCTTAATTCTCTAAATTTTATTACTTTTTACTTTTGCTTCCTCATGAGGTAAAAACTTATCTTTTGTCGACTGATGTGTAGAAACTTATCGCTTCCTTGTAGTAATAACTTATCGCAATGGTCAATTGCAATTATTGTGTAAGAAGCACATGGAAATGATATATTTCACTTAAATACAGTCCTAAAACAAGAAGAAACGACGACACATGTGCTCACATAATGCAGGCGATAATTGAAAATCAAATATTCTTTTCTTTTTTTTCAATAAAAAAAAACGCAATCATTGATTATTATAAATATGATTACCAGCTAATGGTATTATTAATTATACTCATGAAAGATTACTCTCATTCATGATCAAAATTGACATCGTCACTAACACAAATCCACTGCCCTTTTCTTTGCCAACTTCGACATTTAGATAAGATCGATATCCTTTCATGTGAACCATACAATATGCACTAGTACTATAACTCCAGCATTCAAGTACTCATAATTTGATGAGACTGCTTTCATATTATAGCCTAGTCAACTTTTACTTAACTTTTTTTGTTAATTAACTTTTACTGGAGCTTTCTCCATCATTAAAAGAAAAGAAAAGGAAGAGGCAGTGGGGGGTCTGGTTTGGACACAAGGCATCGACTACATTGTGTATGTAATTATGTGCTATCTGTGTGCAAACAAGTTGAAGCAAATATTCCATGTATATTGTTCTTATCGCCACACAAAATTTAAAATCACAAATATTATAAGATAATGGTCCTCTTCTTTGGCCTCATACGTAAAGTTCCACTTCTTTTGGATGGTTTCAAACTTTCGCTATTTTTTCCTTTCTGGTTCATATAGAATCTGGGAGATAGTAACTCATGATGGTCCATGACACGTTTCTCAATACAATATTTCTGTACCTTTCCTTGCTCTGCTTTATCGATGAATCTTTTGAGGGACCATTTGGGACCAACGAGCGCTTCCAAAACCTTCACCATGTGAATGTCCTCATGCCTTCAAATATAAATCAAAATTTGGCACCTGCAACTCCTGCGGACAGCTACCAATGAGTTGGTAACTACGACATCCGTTGCAGACAAGTTTAAAGATAGTAATTAAGGTACTTGTTCGACCAAAAATAAAATAAAATTAAGGTACTTGAGTAAAGAATTTGCTAAACCTTTCGATTAGCATCATGATCCCTCTACGAAAGATTTTAACTGCTGTCGAAATGCAGGGATCTTGTCTGCTTTAACTGCCATGACTAACCCCATCTGCCTATAGTCTCTCAGCTGCAAAATTTAAAAAGAAAAACAGAGAAATCGTTATTGTCATAAAGGCAATTAAATTGCAATAATTAAGCCATAGGCGCAATCAACTTAATTAGACATTCGTGGTAGAGTTTGAATGTCTTCAGCATAAGGAACTTTTGAGCTAATTGGTATTGCTGCGAAATTGTCCAGGAGAAAAATGCTACGAATTATTTGAGAAAAAGTGTGGGAACTGGACTTAATAGCAAGATTCCGTGTAATTTCCCAAACTGTTTTTGTTTATTTGTTTTTTCCAATCCTCATTCACAAATCAACTAGTAACTTAAGAAGAGATTTTCAAGTTTTCCATCCCTTTCTTTCTTTGGAGGTGAACTACTGTTTTTGTTTATTTGTTTTTTCCAATCCTCGTTCACAAATCAAATAGTAACTTAAGAAGACATTTTCAAATTTTCCATCCCTTTCTTTCTTTGGAGGTGAACTACCCATAAGTACGTTAGTGGATTAAGGCCAAGCAAAGATTTTGAAGTTGAATAGGAATCAATACGAGAAATCAGGACAGGCTGCCAATATCTTTAATACTTGCCTCATGAGTTGCAAGCTGCTGAGTGTGCAAAGAAAATTCAAACGACCAGGAGCTTAGCTGAAATGCGTTTAAGGAAACAATTAGTAAATGAAGCACAAGAGACATGAAATATTATTTATGTGAAATGATCAGTACCTCATGAAAAATTTCATCTTCTGGCTTTATATATATTATTTCCTCGTCACTAGCACTCATGCCCTTTTTCTGGTGTGCATTTTTGTGCTGTATTTTTCCATCCAAAAACAAAATAAATATATGGCAGAGAGAGGGGAAGAGGGTTCAATAGGCATGGAGAATGCTTAAATGGCATACCTTGTAAACTTTACTGACTATTATATAAAACTTAAAACGAAAGAAATTGCGGAGCTCCTCTGTTGGCTACAAAAAGTGAAACAACAAATGTTATTTAAGTAAAAGAATGTTCCCAGCAGGTATGGAAATATACATAGCCTCAATCCCATATAATCTGAATCTAACCTCATCTTCTGTAGCCCAAGAGACTTCATCAAAGAGCGCATCATAAAGAGGTGGCAAGAGCTGTGGAGGTAAATTCATCACCCGTTGAGAGACCAAGAGACCGACACTCTCTGCTTCCTTTCCCAAAAGTGATCGCAGGTCATCTATTACATCCTTCTCCTGAGATACCTTAAGGAGAAACTCCTTAACCTCCATAAAACATTTGTGGTCCTATTAAGGATTAGAGAAACGCAATCAAGGATCTAAATAGTAGGAAAAAGCTATGTAAAGCTAAGAAAATGCCTACCAACAGATAAATGTTAGAAAGATGCAGCCATGTGAATAACTGGAATACAAAAGTATAGATTACTTGCCTTATATCTGCCCAAGTTAAGGGCAGTAGCAAGAGCAAAAATTCCATTGTCTTCATCATCCTCTATTTTAACAACAGTTCCTACAGTGGTCTGTTCCAAAACTAAGTCTACAAAACCACTCAAATCCCATTCTATATCATCAAGGTAGGTCTGTAGCAAGGTCTTCACTCCATGAAAGTCATCAGGTTTTGGATCAAAGAAAGCAAAATCTGCTTGCACAGTTCCCTTCAAAGTATGAACCAAATTCTCATAAAATTGCAAGTAGATACAATATGAAAGAGTATTTACTTTTGTATTTCAGCTATCCTGATACACAAATGCAACTATATGGACAACAAATACTATCAAAATTTTCTATCCCTTACATCAAACTCTTCTTCATCAGAAGACTCGGAGTGTTCATTCTTGACTTTCAAAGTATTCTTCCTCAATCCATTACCTAAAAAGAAAGATAAGGAGTCATTAGCATGTCCATTCTGAAACAGTTAACAGATAGCAATGTTAATTATGAAGTGATGCCTTATCTTAAGGAAAAGGGCTATTTAGATGATGATGATATTAATACCTGCGGAGTTAGGTTGAGATTTTTTCGGGAGGTCTGGGCTGTGCATTTGGCGGTTGGACATGCAGCTGGAGGCAACCCGAGCGACTTGACGAGCAAATGGCGAAAAAGTCAGAGGTTGATATTTCATCAATCGGCGATGCCTCACTGGTTTACGGGGCATCTTTGATTATCTGTTGCAATAAATGGCCGAGAAAGGTTCCGGTCATTGACATTGAAGGAAACCCATATCTATAAGTAACTGAGATAGTAAGGCATGGCATACAGTTCAGGTCACTTTGATAAAAAATAGGAATCCAAACATTTCTATGTCCATTAAAAAAATTAGTAAATCCATCCTATCTTTTCTTTGAGAAAGCACAAAAACTCAAAAATGCAATTAAACTCCACATGCTAAGGCAACCAGATAGCTGCGTGTGCATAATTCACATTTGAAACTCACTTAATCCAGTCCCAAAGAAAACTAACTCAATACAAAATCGACTAAAACATAATGACCTACAGACGTTTATCACTTACTCATATGCAGCTATAATTTCATATTCTCACTGTTGTTGGGGCCAGAAACAACAACTCAACTGAGCTGCTTAACCGAACAATTTGGCTTATTTAGGTAAGCTCTAAATATCACGAAGAATCCCAAAATAATATAAACCAAATGATTTCAACGGACTCAACAAGGAGCTGCACGGCTTACAAAAAACTGGATGATTCACTTATCGAAAAAAATATAACCAAACAATAATTGAAATGAAAAATAGCAACCCCGAACATAGAATTGCTTCGCTGAGTAAGTAGGTTATTCAATTCACAAAACATAAGCAAACAAACATACAAAGAACAACTACTTTTTGATGAAACAGAACATAAATAGGAGTCTGAGAAGCAAGGATTATAATGCGAACGAAAGACTTACACCGTACTGGTAAGGAATTAAACCGAGTGGAGGTGAGGACCCAAACTCGGCGACGGCGCGGCGGTGGGCGCGGTGGAATCTAGATGTTGAAAAGATTAATTGGCGTAAAAGCCAACACAGAAGCTCCAATGGCAAAGGCTCAAAGGACTTTTCTATTTTCTTCCTCGCTTTTTGTTAGCTTCTCCTCCGAAAACATAACCACAATAACATAAATCATCTATACTGGCAGTTATAGCTAGGATCTCTGTACCCTCTCTCTCTCCCTCTCTTTCTCTCTTTCCCCATATTTCTTCAACCACCAAATCTAGATCCGGGGATTTTTTTTTTTTTAAAAAAAAGAGTTTTGGGGTTTGGGTGTCGCTTGACTATTGGGCGTTTGGGGCGGTAAGGTCGTTTGTGGTGGTGGGTGCGTTGGGGCAGAGATGGCTATCGGTGGGTGGGTGGCTGTGTGGGGTGTGGTGTGGGAGTAGGTTGAGATGGGAGGAGGAGGGGGTTGACGAAGAGAGGGGGGGTTGTTGCGGCTCGGGAAAATATTTTGTTTGTTTTCAAAATATTAATTTTAAAGAATTCATCCATCCATTAAAAATTGAGTTTAAGTAGGAAAATTAATTATAAAGAAAATAAATAATATAAAAGGGAAGTAAAAAGAAATTAATGTAGGTGGTGATTTTCGAACTGAATGATTCACTTATAATAGGGTAAAATATGAAAGAGAAGAACAAAAAAAGAACAAAGTTGATTAAAAAATAGGGTGGTGATTTTCCCACTTCCCTTTTGTTTTTTAATAGTTTTTACTATAACAAAAAATGGAGTGTAAGTGGAGAAAAGAGAAGTGAGAAAATTAGCTTTCAAAAAATATTACAAAATAAAAACGAGTGTAAGTAGAGAAAAAAAGAGTGAGAAAATCAAGTCCCTTTAAATTTCGAACTAAAATGCACATTTGATGTTTTTTGCTACAGTTTTTTATTTATAAAAATTTATTTCCAAATTTGCTTGCTAAAGCATGTTTGCTTGTTCTCATCCATACAGACTTTGCATTGCAAAAAGAAGAAGAAGAAACAAAAAAGAAGAAGATTATTGTTGAGGCCCAAAAAATCCATGGTTGGGCCCGAATAAATTTCTAGCCCAAGACGATATATTATTGAAAAAAGATCCGATTTGGAGCACATGAAAGTATGACATACACGAGTCATACTCCGCACGCCATACTAAATAAAAAATCCGTCGAGCTAGGAATTGAGATTAAAATTATAAAATGCATTTAGCTCTGCAAATCCATGCCAATTATCCTATCAAGCGCCATATTTAAAAGCATGTCAAGCAACATGTCATGCCAAGCGGGAAATTATTATTTCACACCCAATCGCACTACAAGCTTAAGTAAGTTTAAGTGGGCCCAAGCCACTCAAATGCCCGGGGCTTGCTTGAGTGGGTTGTGGCATGGATGGTAATAAATCAACCTGACGCGCACTCATTGGCGAGGAAA